AAAAAAAAAAAAAAAGCTCAGGGATAGTACTCAGGTCCTGAGTTCAAGCTCCAGGACTGGGACAAAAAAAAAGTGCTTGCCTAGCATGTGCATAGACCTGGGTTCAACTTCCAGTACTGCCTCCCAAAAATATAAGAAATAGATATGAGCTGGGTACTGGTAGGCTCACAGCTCCTGTAATTCTATCTACTCAGAAGTCTGAGCTCTGAGGATCGTGGTTTGAAGCCAGCCTGGGCAGGAAAGCCTGTGAGATTTATTTATTTTTTGCCTGTAATGGGGCTTGAACTCAGGGCCTGGGAACTATCTCTGAGCTGCTTTGGCTCAAGGCTAGTGCTCTACTACGTGGGCCACAGCTTGTTTACGTGGTACTGAGGAATTGAACCCAGGGTTTCATGCATGCTAGGCAAGTACTCTAACACTGAGCCACATTCCCAACCTTCTGTAAGATTTTTACCTCCATTAAACTACAAAAAAAGCTAGAAGTAGATCTGTGGCTCAAATGGTAGAGCACTAGCCTTGAGTAAAAGAAGCCCAGGGACAATATCCAGGCCTTGAGTTCAAGCCCCAGGACCAGCACACACAAAAATAAAAGGTATGAAAGAAAACAGTCTCACATATTATACAGATTTTATTTTATTGCTTTTATTTTTAATTTTTGATCAGCCATGGGGCTTGAACCCAGGGCCTGGGCACTGTCCCTGAGTTCTTTTGCTCAAAGCTAGTGCTTTACCACTTTGAACCACAGCACTGCTTCCCATTATATGGATTTTTTTTTTTTTTTTTGGGTCCGGTCGTGGGGCCTGAACTTTGGGCCTGAGCGCTGTCCCTCAGCTCTTCAGCTCAAGGCTAGCACTCTACCACTTGAGCCACAGCGCCACTTCCGGCTTTTTTTCTTTTTGCTTATGTGGTGCTGAGGAATCGAACCCAGGGCCTCATGCATGCAAGGCACGGGCTCTACCACTGAGCCACCTTCCCAGCCCCCATTATATGGATTTTTAAAGAAAATGTTTCATACTTTAACATCTTTGAAATTAGTAGGGAAAAAAAAGCTCAAGTACTGTGCTCAGGATGGCAAAAGAGAGAGAAAGAGAGAGAAAGAACAAAAGAAAGAAAGAAAGAAAAAGAGAAAGATACAAAGAAAGAAAGAGGGAGGGAGAAAGAGAGGGAGGAACAAAGGAAACAAGCACTGAGAACTCTACACAAGTGTATTTTCCCAGCCACAAGTATGTATTAGTTGATCTTTTGTATCTTTTCCTGGGTTGAATGAAGGGGAGAAAAAGGAGAATTTCTTTACTACTCAACATAGGTTAAAATAGTTTTATTATGTAAATAACTTCACATATTAAAAAAAAATTTTTTTTTGGTCGGTCATGGGGCTTGAACTCTGGGCTTGGGAGCTGTCCCTGTGCTCGGCTCAAGGCGAGTGCTCTACCACTTGAGCCACAGCACCACTTTCCGGTTTTCTAGTGGTTTATTGGAGCTAAGAGTCTCATGGACTTTCCTGCCTGGGCTGGCTTTGAACTATGATCCTCAGATCTCAGCCTCCTGAGTAGCTAGGATTACAGGTGTGAGCCACTGGCGCCCAGCCACATATTAAAATATTATGGTATATTTTAGGTTTGTTTGTTTTTGTTGGTCATGGGGCTTGAACTCTGGGCCTGGGTGCTGTCCCTGCGCTCTTCAGCTTAAGGAGAGTGCTCCACTGCTTGCGCCACAGTGCCACTTCCGGTTTTCTAGTGGAGATAAGAATATCATAGACTTTCCTGCCAGGGCTGGCTTTGAACTGTGATCCTCAGATCTCAGCCTCCAGAGTAGTGTTTTAGGTTTATAAGGGTAATGTTTCTATTTGGTAAGATTAGAATCAGATTAGTAAAAGTAAAGATCTAATGAATACTGAGGAGGTTTTCTTTCTCAGCAAGATAACAAAGTAGCAAGAAAATTGCCATCAAAGTTCTAAAGCATCATTGTATAAATAATCTTTGCAGTGCTATCTGCAGTAAATTAGATTGGTTCTCATTTATCAATGATTTTCTATGTTTTGGACACTTAAATATACCAATGATGTAATAGTTATCTCCATGTGAATGTCACTTGTTAGCTTACTAAGCACAATGTAATGCCATACAGTGATTGGACTAAGACAGAACCTCTATGCCCAAGAAGCCATCAGACCATCCCGGATACCTGAGGAGAGCCAGTCATTGTTAGGCTTCCATTGTCGGGCCTATTTCTCCATTCTTTATATTTAGCTGCGCATGATTCAAGAAAATATTGCATTTCAGCCTTTCTTACAGCTAGATGTGTCCATGGGTTTAGTTCAGATCAATGAGACACAGGCAGAAATTCTGAGAAGTAATTTCAGAGAATTTTTTTGAGAGAGCAAGATGTACTTTTCCCTCTGTTCTTTGGAATGCAGATGTGATGGTTAGAACTTCATCCTAAAGCTTAATTGTAGAGTAGAAAACTAAAAGGAGTTAGGTCTGAAAATTCTTTGGTTCTGAGTAAAGAAGTCAAGATAGAAGCTTTATACTACCCTGCGAAGAGAGTGGTTCTCTTAGACCTTTGCATTCCCCTAGTGTCCATAAATAGTAGAGACGAGATAGAGTAAAATTAGATGTTCTCTTATGTAAGCTAAGCTGTGAAGAGTTCTTCACCAGAGATGGATGAAGGGATATGGGCTCAACTAGGATAAGGACTACCTATTACTTACAAAATAAAATCCCAACTCCCACTGCCTCATCACAGGCTTCATGACCTGGTCCTTTGCCATCTGTGTGCTCATCAGGAGCACTAGGAGCACTTTGGAAAAGACTTTGTGGGTTCTGATTGGCTCTGTAAATACCATTTGCTGAATAATAAATCATTTTCAAATAATTTACTATCACATATAGTGCTGATGAGGTCTTCCTTTTCCAACTGAAGGTAACTTTTTCCAGAATTCATAACTTACAGCAACATGTTAGTCAAATCAAAAGAAAGTAGCAAATATGAGTGAAAAATTATGAAAAATTTAAAAATAGGAACTGGAAAGGTGGCTCAGTGGTAGAGTGTTTGCCTTGCATGCATGAGGCCCTGGGTTTGATTCCTCAGCACCACATAAGCAGAAAAAGCAGAAGTGCGCTGTGGCTCAAGTGATAGAGTGTTAGCCTTGAGCTGAAGAGCCGAGGGACAGCGCCCAGGCCCAGAGTTCAGGCCCCACAACCAACCAAAAAAAAAAAAAAAAAAAGTCTTAGTCTGAAGGAATTACATGAACCATGTAAAGGAAACAACAATTCATTTTTATGATATTCTTGTAAGAACTGCTCTAAATGATGTGAAATAGCACTGTAACATCCCTGGACGATTCAGTTCATTCTGTGGTAAATTAAAGACCAAGTATTTGGATCAGAGGTGTCAAAATGAACATGAGAGCATCACTTACTGGCCCCACAAATCCCAACAATCCTGACCGGATAAATGGCACATCTCCTACAGGAGAGCCTGCAGAATTCACTGGAATTACCTAAAAGACAATGAAAAGGTTAAACAATTTTTCTTTCTTCTTAGAAAATGTATTTGATTTTTAAAAAAATACACAAAGTAATAGTGCTTTTTGGAAAACTAACATTACATAATCTAACAATAATTCCATCCATGTAAGTGATAAACATTTACAATTTATCTCTTTAGACTTAAAAAACACTCTATACTGAGTACTTTAAAAACATCATATTGTAGGAGCTGGGAAGGTGGCTCAGTGGTAGAGCGCTTGCCTTGCATGC